CTTATATTTTAATTGTTGGTTTATCACGGTGTATGGTCGTCACAAGGTTTGGACACTTCTTCCAGTTATTCAAGATAACCAATAAGGCACTTCATACAATAGTCTAAAATACTGTATAACACACCTTCTTTTCAGGGGGGGAGCGAAAGAAGGACGCTTTTCAAACTTTACCATATCAGTTAAGTTCCAATAAATATATGGTTGGCAATCTCAGCTTTATTATATAAAATATAATGCATACATAGTTTCGGCTACAAGTAAAAATTTAAAAGTTTGATTTATAAAATATGCATAATCTCAAAACTGATACAATGCTTCAAAAAATAATTATGGAAAAAAAAATCTGTTTAGGGCAAGAACAAAGTAAACAATCTGAAATAGCTTGTGAAACAAATTGCATTACTGGGGGTGGGGGAAATACTACACACATATTCATGTTATAAAACACAGCATTTATCAATCAAATTAGTATTTTTGCATGGATCACAAAACTTGTCATATATAATTGGTCCTAATATATTTTATTGCCCACACAGCTAAAATAATTACATTTTAATATTATCAAAAGCATGAAAATTTTATACAATAAAATTCAAGCCCTTTAAGTCATTTTATAAAATCAAAGTGTAATTCAGAAATTCATAATTTTAAATTATCTTAACAAAAGAAACATTTTACAAGTAAAAACAGTATATTTAATACAATATAACAAACATTAATTTAAAAACTTTCTTGCTTAATATATTGAAAGCAAACATTTTGATATTATGATTTTATCTTTATAGCTATATTCTATCAAGGGTACTCAGGCAGAAAGATTTCAATACTTTTAGAGATTTTATGGCATCAAATATATACACTGCTTCCAGTTATCCAAAATCGCACTAATTTTTACTAGCAAAATGTATACGATTGAATAACACATAAAAAAGTTCTTCAAATTCATAATCAGTATTTGGCATCCATACTTTCCAAGACAGGAAGACAATTTCACTTTTCATTATTCATACAAAAGCAGCTTATGCAAATTTCACTTTAGTGTATGGGTGCCCCTTCGATTAGTGAAAAATTTTGTTAAGTTTGGGCCATGAAACCCTATTTCTGGCTACCATGATAGTTTCAACTTTGTTTTAGATTCCTGATTTTTTAAAATGAAAATAAATTGATGTGTACATGGACAAAGTTAAGGCAGTGCCTAGTTTCTGCAATTCTCTGATGTTTTTCAAGTGAAAATAGATCGATATGTACACCGAGTTTGTGCAATTCTTTGACTTTTTTTTTGGGTTCTGTGTAGTAGCCATCTTGAAATTGCAGCTTCCTGGCACCAATCTTAGCATCGATAAAGAATCGCCAAAAAAACAAGGAACGCCCAATTGCAAACTTTTACTGAAAATTTAACTAATTAAATATAACATATCATCTTGCTTCCCACCAATAAAAGATAACATTGAAATAATTCAAGGCCAAAGTGCAGTAGCAGCATTTTTATTAACGTGTTTTCCCAGAAAATTTATTCGAAACAATTAACCCTCTGAGCGGCATGATTTGCCTTATCCAGTCACGAGACATTTTTTGTCACTTGGTATATTTTAGCTTATAATTTAAGATATTTTGCTTCCTTATTAGCTTTAATAATATAAATGTCATCTTAATGAACATAAGCTTATGGCAATATATACTAAAATAAGTAATTATACAAATTTAGCTAACAAATAGAGGTCTTGACAGATCCAAAAAACTTGCTCAGAATATTAATATGCAGCAGACTAATTTATGTTACAAAATGAAAAAAAAACTTAAAATAATAAAAGTTAAATTAACTATAATAGGTGAATTTTGTGATATTCTACATTTCAATAAATCAAAATTTGATATTTTAGTAAACATAAAATTCATGTACATCCTAGAATGAAGCGAAAATGAAAAGAGGTGACTGACAACTAATTTGTCATTCGAGGGTCACACCATCTTCACAAAGGGCTGTGTTAACATCATAGGAAGGGAAAGCTCACTTAAAAATACGGTAAATAAATATGCACTATAGGTCCATATCTTACTGAAACGGAAAAACTTCCAATTTGAAAGCATACTTTTATTCTTTACTGTATCGTATATATAGTACAAAGTCCGTAATCCGGACGTCCATTATCCGAAATGATCTATAATCTGGACCTCAAAAGACACAAACTTTTTTTTTTGTATGCTTTATGCATGCGCGTAAAGAATGTATGCTCTACGCATGCGCACGTTGAAAGAAATGTTTAATAAGGTAAAGAAATAAATATTAAGCTTTTTTTGTAAAATTTGATACCCTTTAGATCATAATTGCTATTTATTTCATAAATTACGGTTTTAATTGTATAATTTCTGCATGGCATCTTAAGAGATTTAAATTAATGATTTATAACCGGAAAAACCCCTAATCCGGAATTGCCGAAGTCCATGAAGGATTATGGGGTACTTACGTATTAATGCAACCAGGCCATAAATCACCAAATTTGGCGACCCTACTTACGATAACCCTACGTGTTATACGTAGTTTTTTGTAAAGAAATTATTTTTCTTACTGGTTAGATTGAATGCCCTGAAATACTTTAACTATGGGTATTTGGGATCTGCCTGCGAGGCAAAATGGCGCAACAAAAAACAGAGAGGAACAGCCCGTCATCATCTTGACTCTTACCTTATCGAATTTATATGACGCCAAGCTCAAGCTGTTAATGGCGAAGAAGGTTTTCAATCAGTGCTAAAAGCAATAGCCAAAAGATTTCCGCCGAAAAAATAATTCTGCTACTTATTCAAATTTGAAACCGGAAGGGTTTAATTGCTATTTTATATTTTAAAACAAAATAATATAAAAAACTGTATTAAAAATTATCTGTAATTAATAAATGTACATTTTCTTTCTATTCATACTTTTTTACTCAAACTTATAAATCGCGCCAACCTGGTTGCGATAATACGTAAGTACCGATTATGGACTTTGTTCTGTATTAGCTTATAATTTAAGATATTTTACCTTTAATAAAGTAAATGTTATCTTAATGAAAGTAAGTTTAAGGCAATAGATACTAAATAATTATAGAAATTTAGCTAACAAATACAGGTCTTGTTGACAGATCCAAAAACTTGCACAGCTCAGAGGACTAATGATGCTACTTTGGTAGACGGTTGCACGGATTTTGGAGATTTTTCTTTTGGCGAGTAATACAACTTCTGGTAAACCCATTGCTGGATAAGTTATTTATGGTAACCGATACTTTGTTGTCATTTTATTAAAAAAATAATGCATTTTATTATGCATAACTTCCGTGTTTTATGGCTTCTAAATATTAAAAATCAATTTAATTTTACATTTTTATTTGAAATAAAAAATTTTTTGTTTATAATATTTTATATAATTTTATGTTGTGGATGACGTAATCAATGACGTCACCTTACTTAAAAAAAAGTAATTAGTTTTATTAATATCCATAAATTTACTATAATGTTTTAAACATTAGTTATGGCTGTTAAATATTAAAATACAATTTAATTTTGCATTTGTCTTAAAAATGATTTTATTATGAATGATTATTTAAATAATTTTAATTCTATGCGTGACGTAACCAGTTCCTTGATTGGTTACTGAATATTTTGTGCATTACCACGCCATTTTAAAATTTTATTATTCATCTCTTCGAATTCCTCAGATTTCAAATGGAATGGATATCTCCGTTTCGAAGAACAATGTTGTTAATGGTAATTACCAAGAATTATTGGTATTGGAATAAAAAAATTGCCGTTTGAGACCTTATTTTGGCCAACCTGTCTTTCCTAATCAAAGATTTATTTTTAAATTGTTAATAGCGTCAGAGGAAATTTATTTTAAATTTTTTGAGGAAATTTCGCTAATTGCTTTTTCAATGAAGTGCGAGATATGTGGATAACAGATGAAGATGGTTAAAAGAGCCGATTCAATTATGATTTCGATTTTTTTTGTGGTACTTATCAATAAACAAGAGGTTAAATTACTTCAAAAAAATATAAGTACATATTTTTCTTTTATTTTTTTAATTGTATACTTCAATTTTTGTTAAAAAAATTAATACATTATTTTCAAAATTGCTGAGATAATTATTGTCACATATGTTTAAATGTTAATTATATTTATATAATGTATTTTAAAGTATTTGAATTTAATAATATTCTAATTCTTTTAAATGTTGGTAGGATGGTTTTTAATTCGATATTCAATTTCAGTAATATTTTAATCTAATTAAACGTTGGCACAATGTTTTTATAGCTGTGTTTTTATTCTTTTTTTTGCTATATGAAAGTATCATAGTAAATGTATTTATTTACACTTGCCTGCCGTCTTAAAAAACGACATTTTCAACAAAAATTTAATCCATTACTTTTAACGATATTTATTTTTTTTTAAGTTTCGAATACTTTACTATGTGTAAAAACAGCGTTTTTCAAGATGGCTGACGATCGTAAAAATCGCACCAACGTAAATCGCCAAAAATCCGTGCAACCGTCTACCAAAGTAGCACCGGACTAATTTATCCTACAAAATTAAAAACACTTTCAAAACAATCAAAGATAAATTAATTATAATAGCCGAATATTCTGTATTTCGATAAATCAAAATGTGATATTTTAGTATACCTAAAATTCATGTAGTTTATTAAAAAATATTAGCATTCAGTATAAGAAAGCCTAAAATACAATATTATCAATTACCTAAAAATTTAATAAATATTAAATGGCATTTTATATATTAAATTTCAAAACCTGCTTTCCATCATGCACTTCAAATAAAAAGTTCCGAATATCAACACTAGAAATTTCAAAAACTGCTTTCCATCATCATGCACACTAGTAAATCAAATACCAGAATACAGTTTAATTTTTTTTAACAAAACAGCTTAAAAAGCGCTGGTGTTTCACAAAATTAAAAAAGGAAGCACTCCATGACTAAAAGTAAATATCATTTCTTAAGATAAAAGCACCAATATTTAATTTAAACTTTATTAAATTACATATTTAAACATGTAGATATAATAAAAAAGTCATTACATCGACATACCTACATAAATATCTAAACAGTTTTCATCAGTAGCAATGGAAAATGGACAGAGATAAAGAGGTCATATCCCACTGAAATCTCATAAACTCTTAACAAAGCTACGAAGAGAAGACTTCTTTTTTTTTTTTAATTATAATTCAGCACATTTTCATGATATGAACAGCAACTTGCATTTAATAGATGAAAAAAACCAAAATGAGCTACAATTATTCTTTTAATTTCAATTTTAAATACAGAAAAATGAAAAAAAATTATGTGGCTCATTTAGAGAAAAGTATACATAATAATTATTGGTCACATATTAAGCAGTTTAACTTTAATTACAAGTGTTTATATAAATTTACTTCATAATTCCAGAACAGTAAATATTTTTTTTTTTTTTTCATGTTCTGCTTTCTTACTGTTACATAAACTTACAAATGATTAATAGTCCATTAATACTACAGAACTAAATTTATAAAATCATACCATTTCTATAATATTTAACCCCAGATCATTAAAACTTTATAAAATGCTTTCTTGATAACACTGCATAATTTTCATCTCTCAAAACTTCTTTATATAAATAATACATTATGATCTCAAACAAGCCTTGTTCCAGCATTTTTGATGCCTCAAGAATTCAGTACAGTTGATGCCACATTAAATCAGTAAAGCAAATAATACATCTACTTAGTTGTCAGGATAAAAATGTAGAAAAATTAGCTCTTCAGGCAGCTGCATATTTTGTCTTAGCTTTTAACTTTTGAAACAGCATAGGGAAAGAGAATATTTTATAAAAGTTGCATTAATAATAAACATACATTAAGCTACATTTCAGTCACCTAATTTACACATACGCTCTTCTAAAACTGATGTTGTCTGTTGCCATCATTGATATCACAGAATATCAGAAGTATCCAATAACTGGAAAGCAAGTTTTAAAGGAAAATACTTAGTTTTATCCAAGGAGACATCCTGATTCTAAAGATTACACAATAATGAAGAATGCCTTTCATTAATAATTTTAATGTATTAAATTTTAGGCATGCAATTTATATAAATAAACGTGTTCTATTATGCTTACAATAGCTTAATAATAATTATTCTTTCTGACCTCTAGCATTCTAGAGTTAAATATTCCACGATTTATATAAAATACATAGAAAAACAGCAGTTTTTCTTCCAAGAAAGTTGAATCCTTACTAAGAATTTTTCACACCATTACCTCCGTTTACCATTTTCAACACATTATAAATTTTAAAATATGATACAAAAATATACGGATCAGAAGTACATGTTATCAGAAATCCTGCAGCTTTCAAGTGACATGCCCTTCAAATTATGTTACATCATCAATAATTTATTAAATCTGATTATTAGGGTTGTCAAGTATTTCAGTTTTAAAAATTATAAATTAATATAAAATGCTGATAAAAAAAACTTATCAGGTAATCTCAGGCTTAATACTCAAAAATATTCTGTCATGATTTTCTTTGCAAATACAGAACGTTATATTAGTTCAAAATACACAGTCCAGTTTATCATCCATAAAATAAATGAATGTTTTTTATATTATATTAAAATCTACACCGTCAATGCTCAATTTATTGAATTGGGCAAAAATATGAAACAGTTCTCAGAATTAAAATGATTGTCTACTTGAGCATATTTCCTATCAGAAAAGGAAGAAAGTGTTAAACTTAAAAATTCATACATTATACACATATTAGAGTAGCTCTAAATACTTCATATGAAATTTGATGACTATAACTTTAATATACTTTGGAATTAAATAAAACATGATTACAAATCTCAATTAAAATTACAATAGCTCATTTAAATATAAAATAGGCATTTAGAAACATGTTACAAACATAAACTTGCACAAAAGACATCTCCATAACCTCTCAAGACAGAAAAAAATCTTCTTATGCATTTATTTAAAAATACTTTAATCTGCTCATTTCAATGTCTAATGAAAATGCTCTACATATATATCAGCTATTTAATACGGTTCCAAACTGGGCTTAAACACAAAATAAAATCAAATTCTGATGTCGAGCATTTCAAATTATATATACAAGAAATATTCCTCCAATTATAAAACAAATTCAAATTATGTCTGAAAGTTATTTCTTTAACATGAAGTTAAAATGATTTAAATAACTACTATCAGTATTAACTCAACAGAAAAAACATACCAGAAATCACTTTGATGAAATACTTAACTCTATTAGGCACTTCCAGATGATAAATGGATGACTTATATTAAAGTTATAACACAAATATGAAAGATGTTTTCACATATGAACAAAAAAGTTCCATTCTGTCACCAACAGCCAAGTATCCAAAACATCAAACTCTTGTATTTTAAAGAATACTTAAACTATATAATTTCTCACGAGTTTGAAGGCACTTAAGGTAGATAATTTATTAATAATCAACATTTGTATGACAGCAATTTACAGAATTTCTCTCTCTCTCTCTCTATATATATATATACTTTCCTTTTGATTATAAGGGCTGAGTATGCTGAATGCAATCAAGGATTCCAATTTAACTCATTCACAAGTTTCAGTTGCTCCTGAATAATCCCCTCCACCAGTCGAAGTATCATGCAATGATACTTCGGTTGCAGTATCTGATGACACAGCTGCACTATCCGAAACAGCCACATCATGTGATGACTGAGCCGAAACATCTGGTGACTGAGCATGATTATTTTCCTCAGGTGCATCACCATAAAATGTAGGAGTCTCATCAATTTTTATTTTTTCGACATCTTTAGCAATATCATCATTTCTTCCACATTCATCAATTTCATCCTCAGAGTCATCTTCACCAGAAGAATCTTGATTAACGGGTTTTTCAACAGATTTGGTAGGCGTTTCTCCCATATTTGCACGGGCTTTTGTCAAAGTATCATAACAGCTTAAACATACTCGCAAAGGCTTAGAAGACTGCACAGGCAGTAAAAACTTCTTGCTTGAACAGGGATTGCAAACCACGGCTCCACATTTTCTACAATGATGCCTGCGATTCAGAACGGTAAATTGTGTTTTACGGCAATGCATACAAACTGATGCTTCAGCATCAGGTATCCATACAGCAGCATGCTCCAGAGATGGCGTTTTACCAGTCTTTTTCAACAAATCATCCACACATTTATTTATGTGTGCCATCCACTCCATTTTCTCAGTAGCTGTTGCAGCATATACAGCAAAAGATTTAGTAGGTGTTCTAATTAGCCAACCATTTTTCAATATTCCATCATCCTTCAAATTTTCTAATTTCACTTCCTCCAAAGGAATAATGTGCTGCTTGTTATACTTTTTCTTGTCCATAACTATGTTACCATAGACTAATATGTCATTGAATAGAAAGAACTCTCGCGGTTTACCTTTCTTTCGACACATTTTGGTAAGAACTCCTTCACCAACTAATACACGCCCTTGAATAGCTAAAGGTTGGCCAGATGCTCCAAAACAGTTCTCAACTGTAGCAATTCTGCGAGCGTTTGCTTCACTATTTACTAGTCGGTCGACCATTTTGGGGGCGTTTAATTTCACTGACGGGTATCAATTACCTTTCAACCTCTTAATACTTAATGAAAACATGGACGAAACACAATTGAGAGGAATCAAACACAATGCAAATAAAATACACCGCGAAACAAACCGAAAATAAAATCAGTATTCACAGCTTAAAACCTACGCGAGAAGGAACACCGACTGACCCTTATAACGCAAAACAATCGGGAGTGCAGAAGTGCAGTGACTTCATGTAAATCTTAGCATACTGTTGCCATTAGTTTAAATCGAACGAAATAATATATTTATGAGAATAACTGCTCATGTATTCCAAATAGGGCCATGCTGAAGAATTTATGCTACAAAAAAATTTTTGAATTGTAAAAATATACGAGCATTTCCTTATTTTTGACTAGGAAACTATTAATACCACATAATTAATATCTGAAAATGTGAAATTTAAATTTCATGTGCAATTATTACAAAAATACTAGCAATTTTTTTTAATTTCAAATGTTTTATAGAAAAATAGCAGTTCAATCCGTTTTTGCACAGTTGCTAGCTTAAAACAATAGCAGATTTTGCGATTAAGAAAGAAGCGTCATAGGGGGCTACCAGCGACAGGGGAGTTCATTACAAGGAGGTTAGAACAGAAGAAAGGAGGGTTTGCAGTTTCCTCCACTATGCGGGGAGCGTATTTTTATTTCCTTCTTAGGAAACGCAACTCGCAACTAAATTTGGCGATTTACGAGATCTTGGCGAAATTATGTGGCTAGCGCATGGGCAGAGATGGATGAAATATCGTCATATGTCGTATTTTGTAGCGCGATACTTGATCGCCGATATTTCGTAATGCCGGGTTGTATGTAATTGTGCATGTGTCCAACATAATTACTGAAACAACAAACTTCATATGTGATTAGTGGGGGGTATTAAATAAAGAAAAATGGCGTTTCATTTTTCAACAGAATGTACTTACGGTACTTTTTTTTATGGCTTGACTACGTATCGAGCTATTGGCAGTTACTAGCACTGCATATGGTTAGCGTGGTCGCATTACAGTAAAGATAAATATGAGGTATACACGGAAAACAAACAAACAAAAAAAAAGCCTTTAGATGAGCATGAACTCATATGATATGATAGCAATGTAGGTAGAAGTGCTTTTTTTTCCAGCTTATGGAATGCTGGAGTAGTACGTTACCATGTCTCAGCACCTGTTTTATTACACCTTTCCTGTAAATTTGTGGAATTTAGTAAACCATGATATTTAATAATGATTATATTTAGTTGAAAGTGAAAAATAAAATAATAATAATTCTTTCTAATTTAATAATTACTATTTATTACTATATTTACCTATTAAATAATTCTGTTAAGATATGTATTGTTTCTTATAAATATCAAAAAAAGTGGATATATAAAGTTAATAGTTTATTCATTTTAACAGATTTTATTTAACTCATTTCATCTTCCTTTGCTTCCGTTGTCTAGTTTGTAACATATACAATCACTTACCAAGTGTGACAAACACATTTGGGAGCCACTGTGTATATATATATGGGGACATATCACGAGTGGCATTCATATTTATATTTAAAATATGTATTTCACGGAAATACATATATTTTCATAAAATATATTTTCACGGAAAATTCAATCTGAGAAATATTTTATCATGTAAGAAATGTTAGCCAGAAGTAACATAGTTACGTAATAGTATATTTTGAAAGCTCATGTTAAGTAATTATTACATTTATAAGTGTTAAGTTTATTTTAGATTTTAACATCTACTTGAGTAATTGACTTATTACTATCCCTTTAATAACAGATTGAATAAATTATAAGTATATCTTACTTAGACATAAGTAATTATCATTTCTGTAACTTTTTCTTCATTATGAGACTGTTGGTTTCATCACACTTTAAAAAATTATATTATTATATTTAATAACTAACTTGCCCTAATAAGACATGAAAAGTATGTTTTACAAAACGTAATGATAGTGTTCCATTTAAAAACTGTTAGAAGTGCAGGTTCTTTTTTCTCTTATATGGGCACTGCAAAAAACAGTGTTAAAATATGTGATAACTTGCTGAAGGTATCAACAATGTGATCAGCTAGGTCATCTTGGTTTTATTAGTGAACTGAGCCAAATATTCATGTGTTATTATTTGTTTATTACACTTTCTCATTCTCATTAAATAAATATAATTTACATGCCGTACAGCTTGAGTTGTGCATTTTTTCCAATACAAACCGCAGTCTTTGTGCATTGGACTGCAATATATAAAGCATTTGTAATGAAATCTAGAAAATGTTCCTTTTGATGTCATTTCAAAACAGAAAATGTATTTTATTTCCCAGTCCTGTATGAAAGCATGCAGAACCTATTTATCGGGCCCTGTTTGACATTCTCATTCTGAGCATATGCCACAGAAATTAAAAAAATATGCACGAGTTCCATCGATTTAATTTAATGTCTGCTGGACTTGTTTTTGGCTGTGCTAAGCAGCATTTCCGAACAACAAATGTTGTTCAGACCATGACACCTTGAAAAAGAACTGTCACTGCAATTTTTTTATATCCTGTGTAGCATGGCTTTATACTGACTGCTGTTAGAAATATAGTACAAAATCAAAAATCTAGAATATTCGTGACATTGGCAATTTCAGATTTGGGATTTGCTGTATATTAGATCTTAATCCAGTAGATGTTAATTATAAATTAAAAATATGAAATGGTGATTTAACTAACAGGATGTATGACCTAAAGGGAATCAAAAATATACAAAACGGAAAGCTCAATTTTATTTGTTTTGCTTTATTAATCTTTTCCGGGGCTGGGACATATGGTCCCGAAGTAAGTATACAACAACTGGTGCTCGGGCAGTTTGTCGTTGGTGACAGGGTAGGCATTCTAGCGCTTGAGGCTTGATGACTATTTCATGACACCCCGTAGAGTGCGTTCTTTTGTGGGATTCCGCTAATGGATTAGGGAAAATTGTCCGTGTTTTGAATTCACAGGTGTTGTTGGCAAATTTGGTATCGTCTAAGAAATATTTTGTTGAGAGGATAAAATAAAAAGAATAATTGCTACCTCGATTCACACGCGTTTGCGTTTTCAGGCTTTTCCCTGTGCAAATACGGCTTGGAGGTCAAATATCAAAGAAATTTTATTTTCAGAAGTTCGACTGCTAAAATTCTTCGGAAATTATTTTAAAAACTTGAATGTAGTTAAAAATGCATAATTTTTTCAGTTATTTCTGATTAAATTCTTTTTAATTTGGTTTCAATTCGAATTTGAAATTGTTTTTGTTTCATCCTCTTCATAAGTGTTTTTACCACTTTATTCCATTTTTTAATGTGCATGTTAAGGCAATGTAAATAAATATAAATGTTTCAGGTGATGAAAATTAATTTTAATGTTATTTCTATATGACATACATTCGACAACTACTACTTGAGTGAAATTTTGGTTTGTTATGTTCTAAATAAAAACTAGCGGCCAGGCGGATAATATTTCTTTAACTCTGATAATTTAACGTGGATTCAAATTCCGATGAACGGATTGACTGCATAAGCTTTTCTTGTTCTCTCACATATAATTAGGGTATATCAGCCAATTCCCTTTGAAGGCGTTCCACGATAGCTTCTTTCGCCTAGGTAGATAACTCTTTCTTCCGACAAATAAAAATAAAATTATATTCGAAATAAGAAAGCTAAACTTATGCGCGTTTCCTTTTATGAATAATTTTGATGACAAAATGAATTTTAATTGTGCGACAAATGAAATACAAATTTTTACTAAAGCAATTATTATGGAACATTTCTAATTCAAAAAAGTTTCAAAACTTATTAATTTATCCGTTGTTATATGTTTGCGTCTATAATGTCATATCTATATCAATTAGTTCAGAAATTAGACACCGTTTAGGTTAACTGAATATGAAAAAGCACACGAAGGCTACCTACTTAAAGAAAAAAGATGCCTTCGTGGTGTGTGCGTGTATTGAGAATACGGCAAAGCACACTAGGGCTATCTGCCTAAGGGGAGGGATGCCTTTCGTGGAGGACTTTCTAAGGGAAACTGGCTCGTATACACGTTACACACGGGGAAAACCACGAAAGCGCCCATGCAGCCAGCCCGTTCGCGGGATTCGAACCTCGGACCGAACTACCAGTGTTCAGCGATTTTACCGCTCGGCCGCTGGTGGGCCCCGATGCTTTCGTGGAGATCTTTTAGATGAAATTTGCTCGTATTCACGTTTCACATGGAGGAAACAACGAACACCGACCATGCGGCCAGCTCGATTGACTAACGTCGAACTAACAGTCTTAACCACCCAGTGCTAGTAGTGTTCAAAAAGTAATTAATTTTATATGAGAATTGTGTTTTGTAGGGAATCAAATTTAGATATTGAAATCATAAGCATGTATACAAGAATTCAGGTGTGTACCACTTTTTAGTTCCCTGAATATAATCCTCAGTGCGAATCTTCATTAATATTCATCAACTCAGTACGAATTTTCATTCCCAGCTTCATTACTCCCAAAGAAAGCAAGTGTAAATAGCTTGAGATCTGAAAATTTCGCACAACAGTTTGATACCTCAAAGGTGATTTTAGCATTCTGAAAATGTGGATCATAAAAAACTGAACAAATATTTCGCTATTCGACAAAGATGTTTACTTTCTGAAATATCAATGCGTTCCTGTATATGCAATTCTGCAATCAAAGAAAAAATGGTGTAGCAATATAAACAGCTATCAAACAAAGTAATATCGTATATCGCTAAGTGATAAAAGTAAATTTTTGTTACTGAATACATTAAAACTCAAGGATTTTATTTTCTAAAGCTCCAGGGTTTGCAACTGCACTTCTTTCTTGAACCAAAAACTATGAAGAAGTTAAAAAAATAAAATATATTATATGCCTGATGTAAAGGCAGATCAACTCTGGGATCGTTATTTGCAACGCCACATGGAAGAAAAATAAATAAAAAATTTCTTGGTTCATGCATTCTAAATTTTTAGTGCAGTACAAACGCAGTGACCAATTTCTATTTCTCCAGAAATGAATATTACCAGAGGTGTAAAAGTAATAACACTCATTTTAGAATCCGGAAATGCTTTTTAGTAAAGTTTTTAGTCTCTTTGTAGTAAATAAACTCTATTTAATTTGCTCTTCAACATCAGAATAATAATGCTATTAAAAATGAAAATGTATATATTGTTTGCAGGAA